AGGATCCGGATCCTGCTTAGTGGTGAGCGTTGCCTGTCCAGGTACACTTCCTATAACTCAAATCTGCACTATACGGCCATGATATATACCCATGGCCAATAATTTACTCTGTTGAGATGGGGTGTTCCGCAAGATCGCTAATAGGTTTTCCTCATGATATATTTGCTTCATTAATATGCACATTCTGGACCATACTAACCCATGGACTTACATGAATAAAGCAGAAGGGAATAGCTACCCATCCCTGCTATCCCTTTGACTGAATAAATCAGGGGTGGTCTGCTTTTCAAAAGAGGGTTTTTTGTGGTCGCCCATTGTACTGTGTCCGATGTTGGCATTCCTCCAGACTTGCCACCGTATTTTCTCCCCTTTATTCTTCTTGTAGAATATGGTAGTCCATGCCACTTTCCAGTTCTGAGTCACTGGGGTGGTGGGCCATGGAGGAGCCCTCCTGTATGTGTTCACTTCCATTCAGTAGAGAGTAGGGTGGTGGTGGTGTTCTGTTTGTGTCAATGGGGTATAATCCTCCAATCATGCACTCCACCTTTGTGCAGTGGCTACTGGTGGTTGATGTTGTGCATAGCTTCTGTGCCATTCTATCCGGAGGGTGAGGTTGCTTATATGTTATGGATGCAATCTACTTCCGTGCAGTGGGACCTGGAAGTTGCTATTGTGCTTTGTGGTCCTATCCAGAGGAGGAGGTTGCTTTGGAGTAGATCCATCACATTGCAGTTCACCCTTTCGATTGGGATCCCTCATCCTACCGTCACCTGCATGTCCGTTCCCAGTGAGTGGCTTTGGATTAGAGCCAGACTAATCAACATAAATCGTCACACGTGTTGGTTGTGTTACCTCTTCCTTACTCAGTTTGTCTCAGGATCTCCACCTCTGTGCATTGGGCCCTGGAGTTTGATGTTGCACCTAGCTTCTGTGTGGTTCTATCCACAGGGTGAGGTTGCTATATATTTTTAGAGGAGATCCACTTCTGTGCTGTGGGACCTGAAAGGTGGCATTCACTCCAGCTTTTCTAAAGTCCTATCTGGAGGATAATGTGATCAGGGTGATGGTTCTTCCTATCATGCTCTACCTCAGGATGTTTTCACTGCCCGAGGCTGATTAAGCTTGAGTGTAACATGACCTGCCACATTGGCACATCTCTTCCTACTGTCATTTGGATGTTGGGTTCTTGGATGTGTGGTTGGTTGTAAATTTGCATGCATATGCCTGTTTTGTAGATTGGTTTGCACAGTATATCCTTCCATTCTACTTAACTCGAAGTGAAGATAGTGTGGACCCTTCTCCTATCATGAATCGGAGGTTCTATTCTTGATATTGTTTGATTTTGGACTGCAGTTGACCAGCCGCATAAGCCTAGCCCTAGCCACTCTACACCTTGGAGCACTTCCAATTTAGCTTTCCCCACATTCCTGTCTGTTGATGGTTCTTCTATGGAATTGAACTTGCAGTATACTGTGGCTTGTATTCCAAACCAACAAGGTTGTTGCATGATGATCGACATGTGAGACACAGTTGAACAATGTTGAACGTGGGGTACGTGGGAGTTCAAGACATGTGAAAAAAATTTTGCATATAAAGGGCAGCACTGAACGAGAATAGCTATACATGTAAGATGATGTAAGTACCTATTGGAAATATAGTTTCAGTTTAGAAAAATAATAAATTTTGCTTGATATTGGTCTTTTTACAGGAGAGGGTCCAAACATTTTAGTGTATGAGAATACATCATGGAAGTGTTTTTATAAGATGAAAGTTTTCAAAGCTGCAAATATTCATGGTATTAGAAATTGTAAGTATGTTTTCACAAAAAAATTGTTTCTAAGTGACCTGTAATATTACAACACAAATCTTGGATTTGAGTTTTTTTTTGCAGGTTTGTGTTTGAGAGAAATAATTTCAGTGGGCTTTCTGTCATCTTGTTTTTTTTCCTATGTATTTTAGTTATGTATATGGTTGCAAGTTTTATTATATAACAAACAAGCCACAGGTATCATTTAGGTGTTTCAAAAATCAGATCTGTTTCTATAGTTTCTGAATGCTAAGTCTTATATTAATCTGCTTTTATAGATGGACCATCAATTATAAAGCAAGTAATCTTTTTTGTAACATTATCCTCAACAAGATTAGGCTATGCAGTTGTAAAATTTAAAAGAAAAGAAAAAAAACACATTACAATACAGGAGTTATTTGCCTTATTTTTGTATTTAATAAAAATGACTAAGGTTTTATTTTATAAGCAGTTCAAGAAATAAGTTTCTCCATTTTTTTCTATTCTATTTTTTTTTAACTTTCATTTAATATGGATTTTACAACCTTAGGTTCTTGTGACAATGACTTTAAGCTACCTTTTGTGGCAGTATATGGATCCAAATTTCTGTCAGTTTTGAAACTTTCAGCTGAAGACAGGTTTGTACATTTATTTATATATTCCTCGTGTACTTAGCACTACTATAACTTGTGAGGAATTAAGTTAGCATTATTTCTTCCTTCTGATGCAGGCATCTGTTGGCATATCATTGCATGACATATACTATCATGTTATTACACACTTATTGCATTACATCTTACTATAATGGATGTAGCATATATGTTAGTATCTATGAATATAACCAAAACTCCTGCACCATCTATAGAATGGCACCACAAACAAAAATTTCATATTTTGAGTATTCAAGATTCAGACAATTAGAAAAATAACTGTAGTATGTGCAACAACCATTTCTTTATAATAGAACACAATTTTAAATAAAAGTACTTTCCTCACAACAAGAACACAACTTTCACTAGGACCGTACGTGAAGGTTTGATTATATCTTTGTTGATTTAATTTTTAAATGTAGTACTGAGAAACTGGAGTTCTTAAAAAATGTTATTTTTTATTAAACAGTAATACTTTTAATATATAAAAACATTACAATTTATATCAGTAAAATTTATAAAAATTTTGAGCTCTGTACATTGAATTATTTTGATGAAATGAGTTGCATTTGACCAAAGAGCACAATCCAAACACTTTTCCCATGCAGTACTTCCCAGAAGAAAAATCCTTTTTTAGAAAATGTTTACTTTTTCTAAATTTTTTTCCAGTGAGGTACGAATACTACAATTAGTAATTACTAGCACAAACAGCTAGCTGTAGGGTGGTGTGTTTGTTAGTACATATAACATCTATCAATATCTTACAAGTTTCCTACTTACTTTTTGTTCAATCATCTTATTTAAGCTTAAACTACAGTGTATGATATAGCTTACCAGTCACATGATATTGGATGAACAAGGTAGTTTTTTTTCCACATGACAGGTTTTATGTATCGACTGGATTCTTTACAGTAGGTGTCTGTAAATTGTTGAATATAAATTTGATCAATAAACAAACAGCACATAGTCCACTTGTTTTAAAATAATATATTAAATCAAGTCAAAAGTTTATACAAATTTTAATTATACTGTTGGTTACCACAGTTGTATCTAGAGCTTTAAATACTTGTCTATTTTTTGTCAAAGTCCACATATGCTGGTTCAATTACTTTAGAACATAATTTGACAAGACAAATTATTCTTTTCTACTCTGTTATTACAATATACTCTGCAATAATTTCACTTTCAAAATCACCACTACACACTCTTTATGTCTAAAATCACAATCACCCAATCTAAATCTATCTATCTAACTAAATAAGTCGAACTTATAGCATATTTATAGCCCGATTGAGGCCTAGAACATTCCACATACTACAAGATAATATGATTCAATAATACTCAATTAAAACAATGAGAAAATTTAGAAGGTTCTAGTAACATGATGCAATAATACAATTGCCGATTTACAACAATTGAGCTACACAGTTTATGATTCATAAACAGTTACACAAACAAACCTGTGATAAACTATTTTTTCTAAAAATAACTGAATTTAACACCAAAGCTATATAATTATCTAAGTCATAACTCTCACTTTAAACTTAAATGGAAACAGTCATGTATATCTAACACCACGTTTTTCTTAATTTGATCATTACATCATGAAAGCTGAGGTGTGTAAAAAATGGCATTTCAGATCTATCTTTTGTTTATTGTTGTTTGGTTTGTGATGTGGAGTTATGTTAATTACTGTGAACATTCGACAACAAAGTACGCTGAGCTGCACTATATAAATACTTAACTGCAGATTTTGAGCTTTTTGTTA